TTTTCTCTTAGTACTTCTGTTTCCTCTCACAGAATCATTGAGTTAAGGCCTATTATGATGAGCCCGCATTTAGATAATTACAATATTACTTTTTGTTTCCTTATCAATATCATTTTAATAATTTAAAGGGGGCATTCCATAAAGTACCACCAAATTCCGGTGTATTTACATATCTAACCCAAACTTTGTTTCTTTACATTTATACCACCCAAATCTTTCAATCTATCACCATTTTAATTTTTAAAAAGTGAAATACACCTTTTCATGCATGGGTAAAGTGGTATGTATGTAAAAATTGAAGTGTAGATGTTGGATTTGTAAATACATATGACTTGAGTGGTATCAATGTTAATCTTTCTATTTTAAATTGCCATATCATTTGGAAAATATTAGATTAATTAAGGGAAAACAATGCTTCAGCGGCTTTATTGTAGATGACTGCTTGGACAATTACATACATGTCGACACTCAAATACCTCCATTTACATTAATACCAGCCAAATCTCGAAAGCACAAGAAAACCTTAACTTATATTTTCTTCAGTTTTTTATTAAATTCTCAATAATGAACATTAATCTTGACCAATGAGAAAATATCAATCAAAGCTTTGTTCTATAATGAAAGATGTAGAATTCTGCATTGTTTTTGCTCATTTGAACTGAGTAATCATATATATTTTTTATGGCATTGCAGTCCAAGAAATCAAAGAGAAGGCTCAGGAAGCCTGAAATTGTTCATTTAGCCTATGCCAAAGTGATTAAGAAGCTGAATTTTGCAGGATAGAGTTAATCAGTTCTGCTGTTTCTGCTTTCAGGATTATTACTGCTCCAGAATGTCTGATTATAAAGTACTTTTCTGTTTCCTTCCAGCTCTAATCAGATCTTGAGAAAATAATGAATTATTATAATTTTAATTTTATTTGTGTCCTTTTTCCCCTTTTGTGACTTTTATTTTCTTTTTAGCTAATTCTTTCTGTTTGTTTAGATTATTTTGAGTCAAAGTCTGCATGAGCAAGTTATGTTCGATAGGGCTGGAAACGAGCCGAGCTTGAGCAAGCTCAGGCTGGGCTCGTGTTCGGCTCGTTCGAAACTGCTAGTGTTCGAAATCGGCTCGTGTTTGAAATCGGCTCGTGAACAGTATATTCTTGTTCGACTTGATTTAATTCGTTTTTGGCTCGAAATTGGCTCGTTAAAATTACATTGAAAAAGATAGATGTAAAGTGTTTGATTTGAATATGGATCAAATGTATGCAAAAGAAGACACTAACCACGTTACCACACCAGGTGTTATGATTTAAACTTAGATGTAAATATATATAATATATTATTATATAAATAATACATATAATATATTATTATATAAATAATTATATAATTTTTTATTTCAAGCTAAAACGAGCCGAACACGAGCGAGCAAAGAGTTGTTCGTGCCCGGTTCATTTATAATTCGAGCTTTAAAAGCTTGTTCGTGTTCCGCTCGTTTACTTAATAAACGAGCCGAACACGTGCTATTTAACGAGTTGAACACGAGTTGTTTGCGAACAACGAGCTGTTACTTAACGAGCTGAACACGAGCTGTTCGCGAACAACGAGCTTTTTTTAATGTTCGAGGTAATTAATAATGTTCGAGGTAATTAATATAACTTTTTAAACAATATTTATTTAAATGTTCTAGGTAATTAATATAACTTTTTAAACAATATTTATTTGTTTCACATAAAAAAAAAATTGTCAATGCTTGATTGTATTGAGCTTGATAGATAGTTTTAAGTTTGATTTTTGGAAGATATATTTTCATGCCACTCATTTTTTTTGTATTTACATATCTAACACCTAAATTTCAATTTTTGCCTGCATGTGCCAATTTATTTATGCATGCAAAGGTGTATTTTAATTTTTTTAAAGTTAAATAGTGTCTTAATATGTATGTGATGTGAAAGATTTGGGTTGTATGAAGGTAAAAAGTGATTTTTAGGTACGAATATACATAAAAAATTGGTGGTATGTCTGTAAATGCACGTTGATTTTTATAAGCTTGTTTATTTGATTGAAATGAAGATTAATAAGATTTCATGTGATGGTGGTTGATTTCCTTGATTTTTTTAATAACATGTGAATCAAATTTGTGTTTGGCAAAAAAATAATTAAAATAATAAAATAAAATAAGTGTAAATTAATTAATTAGGCAAATATATTATTGTTTTGCATAAAATAGTTTATGTTTATTAATAATATTAAAATATGTGTATTATTGGCAATTTACTTGATATCAAATTATATGTTTGGTATTTTCTAATTTTTTTAACCCAAATACTAATTTTTTTTGTATGCTAATTTAACATGTATAAAATTGTAATTTCTCATAATCTATTAGACTTTTATGATCACATACATTTTATCATTCACCTCATTTTTGTTATTGTACATGCAGTATAAAAGAAGTTGGTTTAGGGTATGTTTGGGGTGGTGGTTATTTAAAAAAAAAAAGATGGTCGTAAAGTTGTGATGGAGAAAATAATTTAATAGAAAGCTGCAGTGAGAATTATACACACACACACACACACACACACACTTTCATACAGTCACCCCACCACACTTTAATGGGTTGGGCTGAAAAACAGTTATCCATCATAGAAATTTCTAGAAAGGTGGAAGAAATCATTTATCTAAATAGAGTTGTGATAGTGATCTACAATGCGAAGCAAATAGAAAGCTGTCAGAATCGACTGATGTGGACCCTCATCTTATAATTATAATGAAATTAAACATAAGTTGTGGCTCTTTAAAATGTGGTTGGAGAGAAATTGTCGTAGGGAAGTTGTGTTTGTTTGTATTGTATAGCTGTGTAGTTGTTGTGTTGCTACTGTTTGTGAAACGAAGATGTTCTTGCCTATGTATTGCCGTGTTGTTAGTAAGATGACCATTCAATGTTTGATAACTCATACATGAAAACATAAATTATATTCAGAATTCTTAAAAAGTCATATATTCAAATATTACACCTGGAAATAACATCTCACTTAACATTGAGTAATACAACAATCAAAATTAAAAATAAAAGATACTAAAAAAATATTTAATGTTATCAAAATAATAATTTTAAAATGCAGATAATCAATCCTACGTGATAACTTCTTCTCCAAAGATACTATACACGTTTGATCATAATCTGAGGTAAAATCATCAAACCGATCTTCTAATCTAAATAAGGTATAGTCCTCTATTGATCTATTATTTGGATACTTGAAAAATCCTCTCGTAGCTATTCTCTCTTTGCGATTTAAGTAGAGAATACTATAATCCACAGTTAAGGTTTAAGACTCTAAAAGCACCATAAGTTCTCAAGCTCATATTTAATGAAATTTGCAAACAAAAATAAAATAAAATAAAATTAGCTTGCCTTAATAATACAATGTTACAGTTATATGACTAATAAGAATAATAAAAAAACATCAATAATGATTTATAAAACTGTGAAGCCTCAGAGCAAAGATAATCCGATGAATAATTTATCTTGATAAGAAGACACAAGTCCTTAAATAAAGGAGATTTTGATTTTCTTTAAATATTGAGTTCATATATGTCACATAAGCATATCAACACAAAGACTCTCCAAAAGAACCCTAATAATCATTTAGCAGAAAAGAAGGAGATCTTCATGGCCTTGATGTCGAGTTCATATATGTTAAAATCCATAGTGACATAAAGGTCATCCAGAAGAATCCTTAAGGTCATATATCTCATCATAGATCTCCAAATAAATGCAAATATATATATATATAAATATAATATATATATATAAACTTATACTACACTCACAATTGCCTCTAAAGTGTCATCCAAGTGAGATAAAATACATGTTGAAAGAATGAAAAAAAAAAAAAAACTGCAACAAAAAGAGATTCCACTTTAATATCATTGCATAAAAAGTCATTACAATAAACATTAAGAGTTTACAACACATTAAATACAATAAAAAAACTAACATACATCCTTTCACTGATTAACTATTACATTTGAAATTTATTCTCACAACACTTTAATATCATTGTATAAAAAGTCATTACAATAAACATTAAGAGTTATTGATTAACTATTACATTTGAAATTTATTCTCACAACTCATTCATCTCCCATCCCATGCACTTTCCACATCATGTGCAAGACCCAGTTAAATAACAATTAGCTTGTGATATTGACTGCCCTAAGCGATCTTCATATGCTTTAGGACAGACATGTGATTGATTTTCATCTGCACCATTGAAATCAATATCACTACGTGAAAGATGTTGATGAATGTAATTGTAGAGACTACTAAAAGCTTGTATTTACATATTTAACACCTAAATCTGAAATTTTTCTTGCATGTCAAATTACTTTTCTATTAAAAGCTTTCCATTTTTTAAAAATTAAAATAATTCTAATTTTTATGTGATATAAAATATTAGGATAACAAAAATGTAAAATGTAAAGTTTAGTTGTTAGAATTTATAGAAATTGAGTGATATGTTGCATTGTGGTGTAAATGAGTTGAGTTGAGTTTGAGTCATACTCGACTTGAGCTTAAGCTTGATTAATTTTATTGAGCTCGAGTTTAAGTCTACAAGTCCTAATCGGCTCACGAGCTAGCTCATTTATCATAAAAGAGAAAAAAATATTATTAATTTAAGATAGTTTTATAATAAAATGACATATGATCAATTGTAAGATGAATAAAAAAATCACATAATACAACATAAAAAGAATTTTTTTAAATATTTTTAATACTTTTAAGGATAAAATCTTCAAATTTAATATATTTTGAATATATTTTATATAACTAAATTTTAAACGAGCCGGCTCAAGAGCTAATTTATTGAGTTGGGCTAATTTATGCTTGATTTATTAACTCATTGAGCTCAGTTCACGAGCCACTTGCTTATCGAGCCGAGTTACTCACTTATACCTCTAGATATGTATGTGAATCCCAAAAAATAAAAAAGTTAATTTGGTACCTTCCTATTTCCATCATCCTCTTTCTGGAAGAGTAGACTGCGCTTTCTACGCCTTCTTCGTTCTTTAGTCCTTTTTGAAACCGTCGACTTTCCTCTTCCTTCTCTTCCAAGTTAACCTGCGATTTTGTCCTCCTCTTCAAATTTAAAGAGGTCTCGACTCTCGATTAGGGCACAAAGGAGCACTTTACTATCTCCATCTCAGCTCTAGTTACTCGCGGCAGCCACTACGATGTCGGTGAGCGCGTCCCTCACAGACCCCTACCTTGTTCACCGTCTTTTCTTTTTCTGCCATTTCTTTGGGAAAATCTGTTCTCGATTTTTGGATTGATAAGAAATTGTCTTGGTTTTCTTTGATTTTTGTAGTTGCGGTATAACTAGACTTACTCATGGAAATCGCACAGCGTTTCGATGTTTCATTTCAGAGATTTACTGATGAAGAATCGTTAATAGGTTTTAGATCTGTTAACGTTAGTTCTTTGGATCGCGTAATAATTTTCATCTAGAGCACGATTTTCTAGGATTCCGAATTTCTCGGTGAAATCAAAGATAATCACATAGAAGTTTGCAGAGCTAATAAAATAGCAAAATACCAGATAGTATGTGGATAAAGTTTTCAATACGTAAGTATATATGAAGATTTACATACATATCCTTTACATACTACTCAATTCCTATGTATTTATAAACTTCAATTTCTACATACATACCACCTAACCTATAATGTCACCTTTTAAAAGTTAAAATTGTGGTATTTTTGATGTGATATGATCATATGAAAGATTTGGGTGGCATAAAGGTAAAAAGCAAAATTTAGGTGTTAGATAAGTAAATTCATAGGGATTGAATGGTATGTATGTAAATTAGTGAAATTCATATGGGTACAAACACAAGAAATACATTAGAGTAAGAATCACTTAAATCTGAGGTGATAGCGCACAACACCCAGAATTAGATTTAAAACCCTCTAAATCCAAGTTTTCTCTATCTTAAAGTTTCTCTTTTTCATTCCCTCTCTCACTAAGACATTGGTTGGAATGTGGATGAAGAAATTCTGAAGGAGATTAGATATTTATGTGTAAAGTTAGTGAATTTTATAAATAATTCAAACTTTTTGAAGAAAGGGATTAAATCATACAAGCAGCTGATATCAAATTTAATACAAGGCTTGAAAAATTATGAAAGAATAGCCACAAAAGATTATACTAAGTTCATGTCAATTCTCTCTTGAAATGGTAAGATAGTTGTCTATTTAAGCTCCTTCCCCTGCTTCGTTTATGGTGTTAGTTTTGTTATATTTTTATTTATGACTCACATTTATTTTAATAACTTATGAGATTTATTTTTGATAACTTAAGTTATTAATTTTCATAACTCATAACTTATGTCATAAATTATGACAACTTATGATATTTATTTTGATAACTTAAGTTATTTATTTTCTTAACTCATAACTTATGTCATAAATTATGACAACTTATGATATGTATTTTGATAACTTAAATTATTTATTTTC